AGAGAGAGAGAGAGAGGGAGAGAGAAAGATATGTTGGTTGGGTTTAAGTGCCATAAATAGATGAGGGCAACGTTTTTCTAGAGAAATTGACAATCTTGATCTCTACAAGTGACCCTTCTTTCAATAGTAATGCAGAGTAATACCATTATCCAGAATGCGTAAGCTAGAGCCCTAGTCGCCGGGGATAAACCTCTCGTCCCCTCGCCTCTGGTTTCCATCTTGGGACCAAGGGGTGATGGGTGCTCAAATCTTCAAGAAGTTAGTAGTTTGCGTCAACATCTAATGATACTTGTGGTGTTTCACGCATAAGATTACTCTGATTCGTTGTAGCGGTGCCATGGAGGTGGAGCCAAAGAAGCATGTGTCCTTGCGGACCTGATTATATAGTTCTGGTGGATTCATGTGTCGTGTTGCTCTTTTTTATTTTTTGTGGAGTTGGAATCTTTCCTCGACGTTATGGTGAATATTTTATGGTTCGACAGCCTGCACTTCTAGGGGTCCATCCCTGGCCCAAGTATGTTCATCGTTCATGTCTTTCCATATTTTTGGATGGGCGACTCAAGGGCCTTTTAGAAATCTTTGTCAAGTAATTGAACTCGTGTAGGTGAACTAATAACAGTAACGTTGCTCTAGTCCAATTGTAGTTCACTAAAGTCTTGGGAGATTTTTGTCTTGCAAAGAGTGATACTACAGAGAAGATGTCTCCAGAAGATTTCATTGTAATTATTAGTTGTAGGTAGGGCTGGACCAAAAGCTCGTAGCTCGCGAGCTTAACGAGCGCTCGATAGTTCGGCTCGTTAAGCTCGTAGCTCGCTTCTTAATGAACAGAGCCAATCATTGATTTTAGCTCGTTAAGCTTAACGAGCTTAACGAGCGAGCTAACGAGTTTCGCGAGTAGCTCGTTAAGCTCGTTAGTAACAACACAACACATATTTTCATATTATGTGACAATTTTTTTGTAGCACCTCAGGCCATCTATTTAATCTAATCGACATATGAGGCAACAAACTACTTTATTTCTTTTTGTAGTCACCATATTTCATCTTGAAAACCATACCTACACATTCATCATGTATATCATAACACATTATAATCTGTTAACGAGCGTTCGCGAGCGCTCACGAGCTTAACGAGCTTCAAACGAGCCGAGCCGAGCAGGGTTTTCTGCTCGTTAATCTTAATGAGCTTAATGAGCCAAGCCTTAACGAGCACGAGCTTAACGAGTACGAGCTTAATGAGCCGAGCTGCTCATTAGTCCAGCCCTAGTTGTAGGAGTTACTCTGTAATATTTTGTCAAACAAAGCATTATTATAGATTAGATCTAGATTCCCCTCAGCTTCATGGTGTTGGTCCACAAGTTGTAAGGTGTTGCTACTTTGGTACGCATGGATACCTTGGAGGCGTCGAAGAACTTTGCAAGGGAAAACTCTCGTGGGTGGGAGGTATAACCTATTTGTGGGAGTCAGAGGACTTCATCGACATCAAAGCTGACGGATCGTCGAGGGTATGGTCTCATTATATGCACCTCGATAGTGATCTTGGTTAGTATGTGCATGGTAAAAAAATGTGTGTCACGTTCCCCTACATTGTTAACCATCTCAAGCTATCATTTCTCTCTTTCTACACCCAAGCAAACTTTGATGTATTTGAGGAAAAGAAAGAGGGCCCTAGATTTGTTACTAAACTAATCTTTAATCCTCCTTGAGTAGTCGTCAACATGGCATGATATAACCATGCCATCCTATCCAAGGGTTTTGAGGTTCTTACCGCTATTGATGTAGCAGAGGAGCAAGTCGTCACCTTCTTCATCGTCAAGGAAGAGATTGACACCACTTTCATCGGTACCGTAGATGAAGGATCATGGTGACGTGGTGGTGGTGTTGGAGGGAAGCTACCAAACGGGGAAGTGTGGTTGAAAGAGAGAGTGGATGGAGTAGAGTGAAGAGTGAGAGGAAGGGGTGATGGAACAAATGCTAATTGTTCATGAAAGAATGCAGCATCTCACGCCTTCTCCTGTGTGCCTAGCATCGATCATTTTGCACTCCTAGTGGGACTGGATCGCTTGAAAACAGTTGAATTAAGCATTTCTCTTAGCATGGATGAGCGCTGCTTTAAGCAATAGTGGGCGACGACGATTCTCATCACACAGAGGTGTGATGTCCCTTTTTCTTGATAAATGGTGCATTTCATTGACTCAAAATGAAGCATCAAAAGATTACAAACACAATGAGCACACATCCGGCCTCTGCGCAACTGAGATACACACAGTCAACACCAACGTGTACATATAAAATAACACCGACAAATAGCAAAGTCATATAAGACCAAAGCTATGCGTAGGCGGGGAAAAAAACCCAAAGTGATGAAATCCGTGATTGACAAACTACAATAATGACCTTATCCGCACCAACCATCTCATGACAATACAAGGACGACGATGGTCTTCAACAGTAAACCCTTCAGGACGGGTGTGACGCTCAAGCGTCACCGCCACCGGATCTAACCACCAAAGGCTACATTCTAGGTTTACACCCTGAGAGTCAGTTCAAGCATATCCGATCAATGCCTTCAACAAGGTAACAACATAAAAATATCATCATTTCCAGGTATACCACCTCGGGTCAGACCTAGGTTTTCACTCCGGAGATCGAGACCAGGTGCTCGAGTAGCACCACATCAAAGTCACTCAAATGTTCTCTCCACCATTTTTCCGCTATCCTAGCAGCTACATCGGATTTTCGACCGCCACCGCTGCACAACCATACCCTTCGCGTCAAGCCGTCGTTCGTAGATTGCGTCTCATCATCAAAGACAACCACCGGATCTGAAGAGAAAACCCTCACGGTGACCTTTCAGTGGCCACCGCAATCGCAGTGAGACCGCCGCTCCAGGCTGGAGAGGTCACCAGTCAGACCAACACCGACGGCAGAGCACAGCACCGCCGACTGCCACTTCGCCGAAAAGAGCTACGCCCATGCACATCGGCCCACGGGCCGACATGGCCAGATCTAGAGCACGAAAGGCGGATCCCCATCGCTAATGTGCGCCCATGCAAAGTGCGGCCGCCGCTAGATCAAGAGTGCACCGGCCACCAAAACCACGCTGCGCCTCCTGACCAGAGCACTACACCTGGCTCGAGCACTCCCACCGTTATGCCTCAACCATGCCTTCATGCCGCCGCCTCGCAGCCTCGCCTCCGAGGAAGCCCTCGACCGCGCCACCGTCGGGCGAAAGACAAAGGCCCCGGCACCGTCGTCCTTGGTGGTCCGTCGTTGATGAATACAATAAGGCCGTGACTCAATCTCATAGATTTGCAGTGGTTAGGGCCCCGTACCCAGGTTCTATTAAGGTGGCCGGAATAAGGCGTTGGGCAAAAGCTTTGATCCACTAGGGTCGTTACCGACGATGATGGCCCACGAGGGCGTCCCTCCTCCTCGTGTTGTGTGTTTTTCTTTTTTCTATTTTCTTGTTTATGATATATTACCTCTGTCCCAAATTATTTGTCTTAGATTTTTCTAGATACGGATGTATCTAATCTAACAGTAAGAGATGAAGTAATTTGGGACGGAGAATGATTTTCAGCATTGTTTTTTCCCTATATATAAACCGGGCCATATTTTTTTTTCCTATGGTTGCTGCACCTTGGACATGTGTCTGACGGATTGAAGTGAACTGTAGCTTGAACATCTGAAGGTACAGTGCATACGGCACAGATGACTCGTGCAAGAGCAGCTACATTGTACTGGAGAAGTGCTGAAAACCGGGGCGCAGTGCAAAATTGCTGAAAATCGTGCCTGTCTAGGCTGTGTTTGATAGCAAAGTATTATATAAACCAAAGTATCAGAAACTACAGTAATTTTGCCTGTAGGTATGAGATACCATAGTTTTATCAAAACAGAGTATTTTGAAGTATTCACAATACATAGAACCTGTTTGGCTGTTGCCGCATAACGCTGTAAATTTTGCTGTTTAGCCGTTGTGTTTAAGCACTCAGCAGCTCTGTTTTTAAAAAAGAGGTTTGGGGTTCTTTTTTTTATGCAGAGAAAAAACTGCATTTTGCTCAATACTACAGTATTAAAAGCACAATTGTTAGGGGCAACCAAACAACTCATTGTAAATAAAACTATGGTAATCTCAAAAACTGCAGTATTCTTAAAATACTTAAAAAATACTTTGCTATCAAACAGGGCCTAGCCTTGTAATCAACAGAGATAATCAACAGGGATGATCATGGTAAGGATCGAGCATGAGAAAACAGGCATGAAACAGATCAAAGCAACACCATTACTATTTCCTCCAGATCCTGAAACATTGAGTCCCCATAAATTACAAGATGGTGTATCCTGAACATCTAACTAATTTAACTAAATTCTGAAAAGACAGGGAACAGCATTAGGAGGAGGCGAACCTAGATTTATGTCTGAAGAAATCGACACTCTCATCTGACGCCGCCTCACCTTGGCAGTGCTCGTTGGAAAGTGTTCTGAAATGTAACAGAGAAACATCTGTGCAGGTACAGACGACCATAGCAAGGACAAAGTCACACAAGCAGGATCATAGCAAGGGATCATGGTAAGAACTGAACATGATACAGTCAAAGACACAATAAATCAGCACTGTTACTATTTCTCCAGATCATGAAACAGTATGTGTAGGACACACAGCCAGCACATAAGTTGCAAGATGACAGAGTACGAACAGCTAACTAACTACAGAGCAGCATCGATCAGCCACCATGACAGGGAACAGCCCATCTAGGAGGAGGTGAACTTGGTGACGGCCTTGGTGCCCTCGGAGACGGCGTGCTTGGCGAGCTCGCCGGGGAGGACGAGGCGGACGGACGTCTGGATCTCCCTGGACGTGATGGTGGGCTTCTTGTTGTAGCGGGCGAGCTTGGCGGACTCGCCGGCGAGCTTCTCGAAGATGTCGTTGATGAAGGAGTTCATGATGGACATGGCCTTGGAGGAGATGCCGATGTCCGGGTGCACCTGCTTCAGCACCTTGAAGATGTAGATCTTGTACGTCTCCACGCTCTTCTTGGACTTCTTCTTCCCCTTCTTCTCGCCGCCCTCCTTGGACGCCGGCGGCCGCTTCTCGGCCTTGGTCTTCTTCGCCGCCGTGGTCTTCTCGGCCTTCTCCGCCACCGGCTTCTTCTCCGCCTTGGGGGCCATGGATGCCGCTGCTGCTACTTCGCCGGGGAGATGTGCGGTGGTGTTTTCGCTGGGAAGGTAGGAGGGCTGGTGAGGAATCGGCGGCGACGGCGCGGAGGATTTATAGGAGGGAGGAGGTGGGCTCTGATTGCTGGAGGGGTGCGTGCCACGGATCGGTGCCCTCGACTGATTTGATACGATCACAACCGTTCGCGGCTGTGCGCGCTGGACGGCTCAGATGCGCCTTGGCGCGGATCGCTGACGTGGTGGGCGTGGAGAAGACAGACGCGTTTCGGCCCACGCGCGCGTATGTACCGTGGTGGGCGCGGAATTTTGAGTTAGATTATTTTCCATCGAACCTTTCAAAAGAAAAGATTGTTTTCCATTGACAGTTTGCTCTCTTTTGAAGGGAAATACTTTGTACATGCATACGCATGCCTTGCTGCGCCGTTAGTATTGTTGGTCATTAATTGATTGAAGAATTTAGTAAATGGTTAGTCTAAGTCAAATAGTTAGATCATTTAGAATTGTGGTTGTTCATACCATGGAGCGTAGGGGGTGAAGAAGCGCACGGATGTCCTTCACGGCGCCTCCTCAACTTTGCACAGCTCTCGGATGGAAGGGAGTGGTGCGTAGAAGAGTTCTTGAGCAGGAGGGAGGGATGTGGTTGGAGAGGTAGGGGCGCGCGGAGGAGTTCGACTGGGTGCCGTTCTAATTGACCTTGAAGAAAAAATTTCAAAAGTTTGGTTACTGATTCAAATGATTTTAATCGATTGTTTAAAAGATTTGAACCCTTACATAACAAAATTTCAACGAAGTTTCCTTTTTTTGAACGACATCTACAATATGCAATTTACATAATGTTATTAATTTTCCAGCTTAAAGTAATGCAAGCGTAAGACAAGCACCTCTCTGCTCAACAATACAAAAACAAGCTGATTTTTTAAAATAATATTTTTTTTATTAATTTGCACAAATATTACGCTGATATTTTTATTTTCAAAAATAAAATCCTATCAGCCAGCAGCAGGCCGGTTGGCCTAGTCAGCCAGCAGCAGGCTGATTGGCCTCCTGTCGGCCTACAGATGGCTGATAGGCCAGTCAGCCAGGAGGTGGTGACCCTATCGGCTAGCTCTGGGCTGTTGGGTCCTGTCGGCCTACGTCCGGGCTCACATAATATATTTTTTCAACAACGACAGACAAGTATTAAGCGATAATTCGCGTGTGTACATGCGGCCACGCGAGGTCGTTATTACAGCCCCTCACCCCCACGTGGTTTGTGCTGATCAAATACATCGTTCGTGTATAACCTCCCGGGGTCAGCGTACACTAGCTCGTATTTGCCTCCGCGCCCACAGTGAATGGCCCACATGGCACCACGCCCCAATGGCTAGTTGCACCAGGCGGGAACGAGACCCGTCCTGATCACACATCAGGCACAACGGCTAGCTGCACGATGCTCTTCTCCAGTTTGCCAGTCGAAGTTGCTCCCCTTTCCCATCCCTCTCAGTTTTTGCAGCGACTCCCAAAGCATGTGTTCTTCCATGTCACAGAATAGCTCAACACCACCTCCATCACACCAAGCTGCCAATGCGATGCCTTCACTCCCACTCATCCGTTGCCCCGAATGCAACACCGGGTAAGATTTTATAAAAATCTATTCATTCCTTCTCCTCCATGTCGTGCTAATCTTTCCTCCCGCCGCAGCTTGGAGGGTGTAGATTCTGGAAGTGGGAGAACAAGTACATACAGTACTTCAGCGCGCGGTGGTGGCATCTGATTTCGCACGCGTCAGTCCATCGCCACGTCGCACTTCTCGAGCAGAACCAGTCGCTGCTGAAGAACATTTTCGTGGTGTGCCTCGCGAATTTGGTGGTATGGCCATGATCTTCATCCACAAGCTTTGAAGCATCATTTCCTCTGCGTAGGGAGCGCCGACAAGCTCTGTAGTATCATTTCCTACGTACATTGTGTTGTAGCCATATATGTATTTCTTCTTGTGCTCAGTGCACTGCATTTTCACACGATTTACCTTTGCAATGTGGACTGCATGCACCCACTTGTATGTTAAGCTTGCTCACGCAGCCTGCGAGCTGGTCTATCAATAAATCATCTACTTACTGTTACAACCGCCCCAACGTAATTAGTCAACCCATATTAAGAAAACGGTCATAAATTGCAGGAGAGACGTGCGCGTCTGACCCATCAAGATGAAATAACTACCGAGCCATCGCCCACAATTGGCTTGAATGCTTCAATAAGACAAGGCTTTGTGCATCATTAATACCAGCAGGCTCCCTGCATCCGAATAATGACATCCAGCATGAATTAATTACTTCAATTAACACGTGGTGCATCAATGAAGACGACGCCAGCCACACCGCTAACATACAAGGGTGTATTGGTATGAGCATAAATTCGTGGGCCCCATTCGTACAAGTGTATAGCGGGTGTATTCATATTTGGCCAGCATTAACACTGTGCAGTTTTTCCTGTGGGGCAGGCGAGGCTATATTAGATGTCGATCACGACGCGCTCGCGGACGCACGAGATAACGGCAGCGCGTGGCCGCATGTACAACAAACCCGCGTCTAATATTAAGCAGCAACTTAAAATATATGCACTACTAAATATTCAACATGTATATATATTACGGAATATTAATGGTCTACAAAAATTCACACGCCTGCAAAAATATTAGGAATATTTGCGGGAGCAACTACAAATAGTGACACACCTAAATATTTCACGTCCACATATAGTACGGATTATTACGAAATATTGATGGAGCAACTAAAAAAATTCACACGCGTACAAATATATTACGAATATTTGCGGGAGCAACTACAAATATTGATAGATTTAAATGTTTGACATCTACATATATTTCAGATATTGCCGGAGCAACTTCAAATACTGACACACCTAAATATTTCACATCCACATATAGTACGGATTATTACGAAATATTGAGGGAGCAACTAAAAAAATCCACACACGTATAAATATATTACGAATATTTGTGGGAGCAACTACAAATATTAATAGATTTAAATGTTTGACATCTACATATATTTCAGATATTGCCGGAGCAACTTCAAATACTGACACACCTAAATATTTCATATCCACATATAGTACGAATTATTACGGAACATTAATGGGACAACTAAAAAAATTCAATCAGCTCACAGTTGGCCGACAGGACCCAATCAACCCACAGCTGGCCGACAGGTTCACCACCTCCTGGCCGACTGGCCTATCAGCCATCTGTAGGCCGACAGGAGGCCAATCAGTCTGCGGTTGGCCGACTAGGGCCAATCGGCCTGCTGCTGGCTGATTGGATATTATTTTTGAAAATAAAAATATCGGCGTAATATCTATGCAAATTAATAAAGAAAATGTATTATTTTAAAAAAATTAGCCAAAAACAACATGGACATATACATTATGCACGATAACTGCACAGTCAGGAACCGATGTAAAATAAATACCCAGACTTCAAATGTTGTAATCGGCATCTCTTGCAGCTTGTAGTCCTCTGTGCCACTAATCCCTACTCCAACATTAGCCACTTGAATCATTCTTATATCATTACCATCATCACCTATTGCTAGAGTTAAAGAACCAAAGGACTTAAGGATACCAAACATGTATCTAACTCACTGAGTCATTTATGAACCTAAAGCCTAGTTGATGACCCTATTCTGTTCAACTGCTTTCGAAAATCTAAGCACTTCTCCACCTGCTTATTTCTTGATTAATCTGCAAATGTACATATATTTTTGTTGCACAGCATATAAGGTGAAGTGTGGGAGGGGAACCATTAGTCAACCGGATTTCTAACAGCTTGCTTTTATTCATGAAGAACAACAAATAGACGTCTTGTGAACTATTATCTTTAGCAGCTTAAAATAAGCACACGACACATTATAGTTCAGCAACACAACACTACATCCAGTGACATCCCAAGATTATTCTTTTCAGGAAAAAAAGGACATTCAACATTCAGTGCCAAAGACAAATATGCTCTTCCTATTAAGTTTTCGTAAGCATCAAATTACTCCCTTTGTAAACAAATATAAGAGTGTTTAGATCACTATCTCAGTGATCTAAACACTTTTATATTTCTGCATGGAGAGAGTAAATGTCAAAATGTAAGAAAGTTGTTGGTAGAAATAGCCAAAGAGAAATATGTGCTTTCTTAGGGTGTCATTCGACAACGTATTGTTGTTCTTGACAGCATGGCCAGCCGATTGAAAGGTTCCAACAAACACTTTAGAATTATTTCGAGTGCCCAACCATCAAAAACGAATGTAAGATCCTACTTAAACAAATTTCTCATGAGGTACTCAGCTAAATCAAACTAAGAACTCATTTAGAAGGACCACGGTTTAATGACACACTAAAGAGTATGATAGCAAATATGAACTGATAGTTCAGATTAAATATACAAAATGGAACAAAATATTTAGTTTAAACTAACATGACATAAAGGCATTACACCTAATGTAAGGTATTGTCTAAACATCTGATGGATTGACGTAAAGTTTAATGTCATTTTCTCATGTATATATTTTTGCTATCAAAATGGGATACAAAAGACATTTTCCGCATATAACATTTGATATCATTCATGTACGGTACAATATGGAATCTAGAAAAAAAATACCTTTATTTCCAACATATCGTCATATTACCAATGTTGTCCCTAAGCTATGTAATATGTCATCTTTGGCTTTTCCATTTATGGACGACAATTACCCATTGGACTCCTAGAGAGATGCGAGACTTGTGTAATGTACAATATGGAATCTAGAAGAAATACCTTTTATTTCCAACATGTCATCATATTACCAATGCCCTCCCCAAGCTATGTAAACCATCTCCGTTTTTTTCCATTGATGGACGACAATTGACCATTGGACTGAGAGAGAGAGACATGAGAGTTGCATTGATTTCGGTAACAGGTTGATAGTGCAAAATAGTGGTCTTATGACCAATTATCTGATGTACTAACC